TAGATCTAAAAAAACAAGATGGAGCCCACGAACCCGAATGCAAACACATATGTCAAACCACTGTGTATAGAAAGAGACACAGCCGGTTAGATTATCTTTTTCACATTCCGGTACGCTGTTGGACATCATGCGCTGGGGACTCCACCACCAAGGCAGCATGTGCTGGGGACTTCACCACCAAGCTCCGTCTTCGCCATGAAGGGTCTTCGTTTTGCATTCAAATCAAGCACTGGCGTAAAGGTTCTGGCAGATCCACATCACGAAAGAAACAATGGCATTGTCCCAAAATCTCGAAGGACACTCTTGTGGGACACTCTTGTAGGACACTCTTGTGGGACACTCTTGCGGGACACTCTTGTAGGAAACTGTGGGGCGCTCTTGTGGGACGCTCTTGTGGGAGGGTGTTCTAGGACACTGTTGTGGTGTGCGGTTCTGTGTAGGAAACTTGTGGGACAGTTGTGGGACACTCTTGTGGGACACTCATACGGGACACTCTTGCGGGACACTCTTGTAGGGCACTCTGGTGGGACACTCTGGTGGGACACTCTTGCGGGACACTCTTGTGGGAAACTCTTGTGGGACACTCTTGTGGGACACTCTTGTCGGATACTCTTGTAGGACACTCTTGTGGGACACTCTGGTGGGACACTCTTGTGGGACACACACTCTTGTGGGACACTCTTGTGGGACACTCTTGTAGGAAACTCTTGTGGGACACTCTTGTGGGACACTCTCGTAGGAAACTCTTGTGGGACACTCTTGTGGGACACTCTTGTAGGACACTCTTGTAGGAAACTCTTGTGGGACACTCTCGTAGGACACTCTTGTGGGACACTCTTGTGGGACACTCTTGTGGGACACTCTTAAGGGACTCTTGTGAGACACTCTTGTGGGACACTGTTGCGGGACACTCTTGTGGGACACTCTTGTGGGACACTCTTGTGAGACACTCTTGTGGGACACTCTTGTGGGACACTCTTGTAGGAAACTCTTGTGGGATACTATTGTAGCACACTCTTGTGGGACACTCTTGTAGGACACTCTTGTGGGACACTCTTGTAGGACACTCTTGTGGGACACTCTTACGGGACACTCTTGTAGGACACTCTTTTGTGTCACTCTTATGGGACACTCTTGTCGGACACTCTTGTGGGACACACTTGTGAGACACTCTTGTGGGACACTCTTGTGGGACACTCATACGGGACACTCTTGTCGGACACTCTTGTAGGACGCTCTTGTGGGACACTCTTGTGGGAGACTCTTGCGGGACACTCTTGTAGGAAACTCTTGTGGGATACTCTTGTAGGACACTCTTGTGGGACACTCTTGTAGGACACTCTTGTGGGACACTCCTGTAGGAAACTCTTGTGGGACACCCTTGTGGGACACTCTTGTGGGACACTCTTGTAGGAAACTCTTGTGGGACACTCTTGTAGGACACTCTTGTGGGACACTCTTGTACGAAACTCTTGTGGGATACTCTTGTAGGACACTCTTTTGGGACACTCTTGTAGGACACTCTGGTGGGACACTCTTGTAGGGCACTCTTCGTACGAGACTTCCTCCAAAAGTCACACGTCAAGTCTCCAAAACGAGCGTTTCGTACGAGGCTTCCTCCAAAAGTCACATGTCAAGTCTCCCAAACGAGCGTTTCGTACGAGACTTCCTCCAAAAGTCACGTGTCAAGTCTCCAAAACGAGCGTTTCGTACGAGTCTTCCTCCAAAAGTCACATGTCAAAGTCTGCAAAACGAGCATTTCGTACGAGACTTCCTCCAGAAACTCCCATCGGAGCACACACATCACGCAGCCCTGCCAAGCAGTTTTGCGAGTCCAGCCCCTCCAAACAACACCCGTTCACACGCCAATCCCACTGTGACAGCGACATTCACTTCTACCACAACTCACGACCTCACAATTCCCTGCGCCTGCCACGAATCTTTCCGCATCCACATGTCTAACGCGCACAAAGTACTGCGCCTGCCACGAAATGTCACCTCCGTCACACCTCGCAACCTCACCATTCCCTGCGCCTGCCACGAGAATCGCACTTCCACGCCTCAAAACCCACACAAAGTACTGCGCCTGTCACGAAAAGTGACAATATCATCTCATGTGAGCTTCAACAAAACTTGCACCACACCACACGTTTGGAATGATTTCGACCCGTTCCGAGCACACTCCCATCCACCAAAATCGGCATTTCAGCTGAGACTTGTCACGAAAACAGAGCTTCGATGCCACACCCTGAAACGCAAATCCCAATGGCACGGCCACATCCAACACCCCAAAAACACGACTCTCCAAACGCTAATCCCAATGAAACTGTGTCGCAAACTGCAGATCTCACGAAACGCTGTGCCTGTGCAGCGAAATGCATCACGCTTCTTGCGCGACATGTCCTTTTCACGCAAATCACAATGGACTCGCGTCGCAAACTCACACGTGACACATCCATGCATAGTCACTTGCAAAAGCTTCCCCCAATGGCAGCGCCTTAGCGCTCTACTGCGAACGGTTGCGGACGGTTGCGGACGGTTGCGGACGGTTGCGAACGGTTGCGGACGGTTGCGAACATAGAAACAACGGGTCGTGAACAAGGCTCCACCCCCAGACCCCCAAGAGTTAAACGAGAACCCTTCGCTACGCATTCGGGAAAACACAACAAAAAAGAAAAGACAATAACTATTGACCACACGGACATTGACACTCTTTGACACTCATAGCTTCATAGAAGGAATCATTTGTCCACTCCTCTCTCTTCCGGCGGCCTGGGGTCGCCCGTGCTCGGAGAGGTCGGACCTCAGGTCCGACACCGGAAGCGAACGGTGTAGAAGGCCAACGTGAGTAGACCAAGCCAGGTGTTTTTTTTTGCCAGGTGTTTGGGTCATCCCAGATGCTTCTCTTTTTCCCATGTCCCTGGGTCATCGCGGAACCGGAATTGGTTTGACCCTCAACTTGTTTGTTGACCTTTGTCCATATGGAACACAGAGATCCCAAAGGTGTCAAGCCTTGTGACAACTGTGACAACCCAAATGTTTGTTGGTTTTAACATCACCCATAACATGCATGCCACACATTTGAACAACAAACCATCTGCCTTTCGCCCCTTGAGACCCAAACCTGAACCAACGACACTAAGTGGTGCAATAGTCAAGTGGTCGGAATAAATCATGGTTTACCACACCCGGGGCAATCCAACCCACCACTTATAGTCTCAGTGAAAAAGATACCCTTTATGATATCGATGAGTCTTTATGGCGATTCCTCCTTCCTCCATCTTTCCAAGCTGCGCAGAGCTTGGAGTCAGCGAGACCTCCTGTGACTGCTAGGAACATCTGGCAACTAATAGCAATGGCCTCCAACCTAAAAGCAATGGCCTCCAACATAATAGCAATGGCTTCGAACCTAGTAGCGATGGCCTCCAACCTAATAGCAAAAGGAACCATGCTCCAAAACCGCCACTCTCTCCCGGTCCTCATCTTCACTCATACTCTCGTGTTCAAGCTCCAGCCGCGCCTTGGGCTGCCTGCACACTGCTTCCCCAGACCTGATGGTGGTACCCCCCGCCCCCGCTTCAATCCAGAAAATGCAGCCCACGCACCGCGTGACCCTTAAACCACAAAATATCAGCAACAAACACACAACCGTAAAAGAACCTTACAGTATGAACTCGACACCACGCACCGGAAACCAGCCCCTCCCTTTACCTGAAACAGCACATGCACACAAAACCCTGGAGATTGATGAGGTCTCGTGATATGAGTTGATTTTGTGTAACAACTCTCAGCCAGTGATAAGAGATACCGCTGGAGATTAAACGTTTCGGCTGCGAAAACGAACACTGGGTGTCCGAGGGTGGCTCTGTGGCTAGCGGCTAGTTTTTGTTCATGTTATTCTTTGATTGACAGCCTTGCCATAAATTAAAGGAAATATGATGGAGGAAACACTCTGGCACCACCTTGGACAAACATATTGGAGGATCCACAATTCTTTTGGCTCTCTCCATTGCAGGACCCAGTGTGCATGAAGTGGTTCCTCAAACATGTGGTTGAAGCGTCGGTTTGGTGGGTTAGTGCCGAATTTCAAACACTCCAAGCTCGGGACATGGATAACACTATGAAAGTCACTCCATCATCTCTGAGTCTTTGACGGTTCGTTGCCGGGTAGAAACTGTATCCTAAAATCGTGCAGAAGCCTCCCACATGGACAACAACAGTGCCTGACATGGCGTTTACTGGATGCCATGGATATCATCCTCGATTTCTCCACAAAGCATGGAACTCTGCAACGAACTCTGCATGGAAAAAACACTGGTGACCAGCACCTCTCCCGCCGCAGGCTCACATCCTCAGGGAAAGTGGAAAAACCACTCCTGGAAGATATCGGATGGGACTAGCAACGCGCATAACCCCAGGTTGCAGGAATTGTTCCATCAAACATAAGGATGACATTGGTAGAAGTTCTTACTTGACCATGTTGGGATGGACCTGAGAGCAAAATGGATAAACATGGTAGGTGGGTAGATAGGGATGGAAAACAATCGGACATCCATCGCACATAGAGCATAATATGGCTTCCAAAGTGTGTTCTTCTGATGGGTGCAGCCAACTTTTGTGGTCAATAAAAACCCAGCTACTCCCGACTCCATGCCCCAAGACAGGGGCACCTGGTTGACCATTGGATCCAGCAAGGTCGTGCCAGCAAGGCCAACCTACGCCACACCGGTTCAACGACACGTCCACCCCACGCGCAGCATCGCGCGTGCCGCATCGCGCGTGCCGCATCGCGCGTGCCGCATCGCGCGTGCCGCGCCAGCACTCCAAGGCGCAGCTGCCAGCTGTTGCACCGACTCCAAAAGCTCACTCTTCACCTGGACACCGCCCACGACGAATCGACACACCATGGCACCGCCGGTGGTGTTCGGATTCTCCCAGCACGTCTCCCCGGTGGTGTTTGGGAAACGTCCCCAAAGAGAGACTAGGGATGCACATGGATTCACTGTTCGATCGAGAGTTGGGATGACTATCAGCCGTCACTGCGTGGAGGACCACCTCTCAAATTAAACCACATCGACCGTCTCTCTATTTCTATTGATTTTTTGAACACCTCAGCGTCACTGCTGTGCCAGGCATTAGACCACTTTTTCACAGCCGTCCGCGGCTTCCGAATGGCTGGTGGTCCATCTGGTTCATCTAAAGGTGAGACCTCTTCACTCCTCTCACTGCCAGTGTGTGGAATGGCAAGCTGTGAGAACTCTGATACACTCAAATCGCGACCACTGCTAGGCCGAACAACTAGTTTTCATGATCCACAACTGACATTAAAATTTGCACCTGATTTGGATTGCTGCGCGCAATCCTGTCAAGCCTTTTGACTGCTCCTGGCTTCATCTTCTGTCTTGGCCTTGTCTTCGCTTGGCGCAGAAGTCTGCGCTCTTCCGCTCATGCAGCGGTGCCAGACCTCAGGTGTCGAATTCGATCCTTCGAATCGAATTCGGGTCCAAATGCTCGGAAAGTAACACTTTGTTCGACACAATTTGAAGGGTAGGTATAGTAGGTAGGTGGTGGTCTCAAAAATGGAAGGGTCCAGCCCTACCTATTTCACCTGGGGTAGATAGACCCTCACGGAAAGGAAGAACCCTCTTTGTCTTTCAATAAGCTAAAATCAACGCAGCTGGGAAGCATTAATTATTGAGTTAGTCATTCACATGGCCGGGTGGCCGTAGTTACAACGATTAAAGACTTGTCCCAGGAAGTGTAATTACAAACCCATCGATTTAAAAACCATAGAAGCCTCATGACATGGACATTCTCGGCCGTTCATGGTGGATGTTTCACATATGTCTCGGTTTTCAGGCGAGCGGTGTCAGCATATGAACCCTCCAATTCTACTAGCACGTGGCGAAACTTGGAGTGACCACTGGAATGAAATCAATCCTTCAGCAGCGGCATTACCAGACGTTAAAATATATTAAACATGCGGAACAAGCAGCTGGGTCCGGGTCAGAAGAAAACACAAAGGACACATCGACGGTGCATGTTCCTTTGTGTTTGCCGTCAGGGTCGTCTCATTTCCCCAACGGTCGCTTGCTCCCGTCCGTCTTTTTTTGCCCAGGGAACCGAGAACGGTAGCAGCAACTCTTCGTCTTTCCTCAGAGGAGAAGTCACTTGGCCACAAGTCCCTTTCCAGGTTTCCATGGGGAAAACAAGTGTTGTATCAGATATGATTGATATGATACAGGTGTTCTTTCTGAGCTGATATGGGATGATGTACAACACTTTCATGGTACACCGTACTCAACTCAGAATATCTGAGCATGGCGGCCTATATCTGGAGATCCTAATCTGGTTCTGGCCACCTGATTCACTCCCCATAAGGCTTCAACATTCACATCACCCAGCACCCTGAACGGCCCAACCCTCGCTGCGATTCCAGCATCCCAGCGCTGGTCTTGGAGCTCTCGTGGGTCTCCGACCGCTGGTTCTCCGAGGTCCGGGGCTTCTCCGGCTCCTGAAATCTCAAGAAACACCGTCTCCGATGCGGCTTCCGAGGAGAACCCGGGCCAGCAAACGGAGCCGATCCAGGGATCTGTGTGTTTGTTTCAATGTATTTGTTCCCAGGCACTTTTGCCATATCGATCCTTGAGAGCACCAAAGCTTCATTGAGTCTTGAACAAGATTGTCCAAGTCTCTTCCGTGTAGCAAGACCAAGCCAAAATAAGCCAAGATAAGCCAAGTATAGAGATTTATGAAGTGGCCATTTAGGCGAGTCCTTTGGATGAACCCGTCGCATGACTGGAAGCAAAAGTAAGTCATTGGCGTAATTCTCTCCCTTGCACTTGCATGACTGATGAATCACACATCTTCTCTCTTCACAAGCACCACCCATTCTACGCGCTTATAGACCCCTTACCATGTATGTTCCATCCAACAATCACTCTTTCGTTCCTTCTAGCAAATATCAGTGAATAGATGTGTACCAGGACCGCCAGTCGAGGTGGTTAATGGACACCCCTTAACAGCTATAAGGGGCTATAAATAGACACCCCTGGTACAGTTCAATGTTCTTTATGGTGTTTCACCATTCCCAACACCACCTGTGCACAGTACAGCTAAGCCCGCGGTTGGCATTCACGGCCCAATTTCTCCGACATCCTTGATATCCAGCATGTAGTGCAGCGTGGCCAAGGTATCCCCCGGCTTCAGCTCTCCCGGCATTGAAGAGCGAGCCAGCTGATGCATGGTGCCTCACTCGGGTATTGGTCGCTCGAACCAGAGCGGTTGCGAAGCCCTCTGGACTCTGGGGCCACTCCATGTACAGTATCCTTTGGGTCTATCCCATTCACTTGCAGGCCTTGATCTCTAAATAGTAAATATGCTTTACCGGCCGACGGCTTGAACAGGTCGGTTCAAACAAACGAGACATGTGCAGTATCCAAAGACCTCCTTCCTCCGACCTTTCACCTGGCAGGTGCGGAATTTGGCGGTGCCGGCATCCTCCCACAAGCCAGCATGTGGCTCCGGGCGTGTTTGACGGATTGGCAGGTCGAGCCAAACGACATAGCATTACTGAGAGCTCAATATGAATATAGCTCAAAGTGATGTCGATGGAAGCAGGTGCGAAGTTCAAACTATTTGTAGCAAAAACGTTGCATCAATTTGTAGTGTATTTCCATCGGACAGGACTTTGGCCTCCAAAACATCAATATTCTTTCATAGCACAATGGCTCGTCAAGCACATCTGAACAAAAATCTGAGTCGCTCAGCATCTTGTGGTACTCTTTGCTGGTCATTGTTGAGGAAGCCCCGCTGGCCGTCCAGTGAGAGAAGAGCTTTTTGCGGAGACTCTCTTGCTCCACGTGCAGCCGCTCCCATGTCCTGAACAAAACCATCAAGGCCACGTGGAGAAAACCGCCTTGCAGTGTAAAATCATACGAACGTTCTACCTGGATGGCGAGAAGCTTCTAATGATCTCAATAGAGTTGACGAGTACGTCTTGGCTGCACATGTTCGACTATGTTCATCAACAGGATGATGCAAACCCGTGGGAGTGTGCGTTTTTTAGGTTCTGCTGTGGCGCACCAAACACTTCCAGGTAGTGTCATGGCACAATTGGAAGCGCAGAATATGACCTAGAATTGACCGGGAGATGAGCGCAGAATATGACAAAAGTTATATCCACCCAAATACCCTGCATTATTATATCATTACAGTATATACGTGGCATGTACTGCTCATTGCTCGCTAGCCACTGGCTGGATCCAAAACTAAGAAAGTGTGCAAAAAAAAACAGGAATAACTCAATAATAGAGAGAGAGAAGGCTCTGCTGCTCGTGCTTCTCGATGCTCATCTTGATCTTTGCCAAGGTCCTGATCTGCGAAGCGGCGCGGCGATACGGTACGGAAGACCAGGGGTTGAAGGCAACGTGTCAGGAATCCATGTGCACCGGCAGTGATCCTCAGTTCTTTCATGTAAAACCTGTGACCCTCAGGGTTTGCTGCTGGTGACCTGCCGCAACATGTTCGAGGGGAGCGGAACCTGAGCAGCTTCCACTCTCAATCTCAAACTGACGTCCGATTCTGATACACTCAACGGTCACCTTTAAAGCCCACCATGTCCACCTTATCATTTCTAAGACCGGATTGAGTTTATCAGTTTATCACCACCCCAAGAAGGTCAACGAGCTCAAGATGGTCGCGGGATGGTCCACTGCCCCACGAGACAACAAAACACGCATCATGACTGTTGCAACTTGAGGATGTGCTGAAAAACATCTCGTAGAGTTCTCCGTGGTGAGGACGAAAGAACGGCCATAGCCCAAACTCGGGTGAAGCTTGGTTAAGGGGTGCTTGGTTTTATTGCTCAACACATATGACTGAAGCAAGGCCACGGCCCCGATCACACATGTTGCACCCACGTACAGAAGCACACGATGGATTCCGTGAAAGGCACATGGTTACTTTATTTGGTGTAGCTGGTGGGCTAAAGCACACAATTAGCTGAGCAAAGGCAAACGAAAAACGCGTGTTTTGTATTGTTTATTAGTGTGTTCAAGTTTGGTTTAAAACAGTTTCTGGGCCTTGGAAGACCAGTTTGTTTAAAAATGGCCCCGTCAACCAACGAGTCTTGGCCGGCCCAGACAAGAGGAGCGGAGAGAACCACCGGCCGAACGGATGTGATCTACTTTCTTCCCCCCAAAAGGCAAAATCAGGTATCATCAATGGACAAGCATGATTCATGATGGATCTTCTGATTTGGTCAGACACAGAGAGAGAATGAAGGATACCTAGCCAACATGCGATGTGAATTGGTCTTTTCCTTAAGACAAAAACATCATGCACACCTAGCAAACATGCGACGTGTACCAGTTGTAAACTGTGCAATCAGGCAAATGTCCACACGAGATGGAAGACAGGATAATGGGTCCTTTTCTATTTCACGAGACATTCTTAGTCCAAAGTTTGGACGTGGAAACACACACATGAAGCATGAAAATGGGTCAATGTTCAGTCCTGCCTTACCGGGTATGTACAAAAAAACTATTATATAATAAACATAGAGAATGTATACGGAACCTTACAATCAGAAACAAACACAACAGGAACTGGTTGAGGAGCACCAAAACCTACCTGCAACTTGCCTTTGTTCTTGAGATTTCAATAAAATAAGAACCACATGTAATCTGTTTGAATCTTTTCTACACCTGGAACTGGAAAGTGGATGTCTTCCTTCATCCTCCTCTTTCTCCCCCACATGATTGATCAGCATGTTCCCCCCGTCAACTCCCCCGCTTTGGCCGAGGCTCTTCTCATCGAGCTGCTTCTTTGGCACGTCCTTCGCCTCGTCCTTCGCCGCGTCGCCCGGGTCGGGCGTCGGAACGGTGGGGGATTCCTCGTCCAGCGCGAGCAAGTCCTCCTCCTCGGTACAGCGGTGGATCCAGGGATCCACGGGCCTTTTAGGCCATTGAAAGAAGGTGGATCCGATGGCCCTGGTATAGTTTTTCATGCGATGCAGCCGCAGTGTGCAATGGGAATATGGTGCTTGGGAGGTGAACTGTGGATGGTTCTTGTCTTGCATCTGGACTCACCTGAGAAACAAAACCTTGCCAACAAGCTAAACCAAGGTCAACAACCTAGATTCATCTTGGTCTTAGCACTGACAACTCGTAGGAGAAAAAAGAAGAGCACTTGAATGGGGAAAACTGGGCTTCCCAAAAAGCAACAATGCTCTACTCAAAGAAAAACACCAACATCTAACTGACTGGTGTTCACATATTTAAACCCAGGAGAGCAGCACTTTGCACGACCTCACGGAATTGATGTCTTTGGATGACAGCATCCCTCACCCCCACAAGTTCCAAGAGTTCCGGTTCAAAACACTTGCTTTCTGGACCTTTCACCTGGGCTTGATGAGTTTAATTCCTCATGTTCTCCATGGTCTTCTAGATCATTGTCTCTCGGATTCATCGTCAAACACATCTGACCGATCCGACCATGCAAGCATCGTGTTTCCGCCGATGCGTCTTGCCAGACTTCTTCACGCCTCGGTGTTGGCGATGCGTCGGTGTTGCCCAGTCTGACGTTCATTGAAACATGGACGGTTGCAAGTCTGAAATCATATATTGTATAATGCCTACTATGCAAATACATGTATATATTTGCAGTAATATATACATATATATATATATATTCATGAGATTGACGATCTTTCTTGAAGACCCCCACATACGCATGTTCAATTGTTCGGTCTAACTATACATATATTGGGGTGACGCCAGTGGAATTTATTCCTTTTCTTCAGTCTATCTATCAATCGTGAACACTAGCTTTTATCATCTCTTATCTAATTTAAACGTTTAAACATATGTTAACCATTTCCATCCATTTCCCCTGACCGAACAGAAACACCCAAACAACGCTAGGAGCCCGGTCCCAGTCTTTGGCAGCAGCGTTCACTCGACTCAAGGACCGGTTTCACCGCTCCTGTTCGCTTCGCTCGATCCAGGGCGCTGTTCCGACGCTTCGAGTCGTCCATGGAGCGGGAGAACTCGGTGGACGGTGCCTCCGCCTCGCTGAAGAAGCCCCAGGGATCCTCCTCCTGCGCGCGCGGCTCGCGAGCGCGCGCGTGACGCGGGAGCCGTGAGGAGCCCAGCTAAAGGCGAGGCGAGGCGTGTACCAGGACAGGTCTTCAAGGGGCTGGGGAGGGCGAAAGAAGGGTGAAAGGCTCCTGGATGGGGTGACTGGATGTGCACGAAGGATGGTTCCGAACCACCTTTGCAGGTCTTGATCAGGTCTTGATCACAGCGATGCGCGAACTATGGATGGTGCCCTCATGGGTTTGGCATACTTCTTTTTTTCTGATTTTGCCTCTCCTGGGAGCAACATAATAGTTGTATGTTGTTGTTGTTGTTAAATGATGGTCATGGTCTAATTTGATGCTTTCTTTTGTGTCTGTTTGATGTCTTGCACTGACGTCGTCGGAACCAAGATGTGTGACCTGGAAAGCTGCTTCCAAAAGACCCAGGATCAGATCAATGTGACAATGTGGATTTGGAATTCATGTTTTGCATCGTTTTGCCCATATTCTGCTCAGGTAAAAAAGAACATAATAACAATAACATTACAGTAATAGTAATATCATTCTGGTCTTTCCAAAACCATGAGACACCATGGTCCTTGGCACTCTTCTCCTCCTTCTCCGCGGGTTCCCCGAAACCGCTCGCGGAAACGGCACCGGCAGTGCCGTGGGGACTCACGCGTACGTAGCCCATGCGCTGGCGAAAGCTGGTGGTTGGAGACCAAAGGAAGGTCTGGGGATCTGTCATATCCAGCTCACCTGTGGTGAGGGCGATTGCTTCGCTACCAGGTTAGAGAAAAAAACACTGGTTTAGTAGCTCAAGAGACTAGACTAGCATCTTTCAAGTGATCTTAGATCAATTGGACGAGAGAGTGGAAGTCTTGTTTTCGCAGCACCAGACTTCAAGAATCGAGAGAACACCACCCGCCAACAGGACAGAACTGGAGGGGACATGCCAAAGGGTTTACCACAGTCTGAAATCCCACTTCGTCTGAGTCTGAAGATCCAAATCCTTCCGGGAAAACTGCACGCATGCATAAGTTACATCTCATGTCCACCGGGATCTGACAACACAAACTGGTTGCATACAAATAATGAACGATAAATAACGATATATAAATAACAATATATGCGAACACTCGAAAACTCCAGAAATAAAAAAACCATGTCAATAACAATTGTCATGGTAACCACCCCCCCGAAAACACAAGAACCAATTGTTTCGCCCACGTTGCTGGTGGACATGAAGTGCCGAAACTCTTCCATGCCCACCTGGGCGATCGATCGATCGGGAAGGCCCGAAAAACCATGTTGACGCGGCCCGTTTCTTGTTACGCTACGGATCCGATGGCCTCCAACCGAATAACTCCTAATAGCGATGGCCTCCACCTATTAGCTTCTTGCTACTAAAGTAGTAATGAGATACTACTAGTTCCTTGTTACTAGTAGCGATGCACCTTGTTACTAGTAGTTTCTCGTTACTAGTAGTAATACCAGGAACTACTATATAGTAGTTTCTTGCTCCAGTGTGAGTGAAGGCCTACCTACAGAAATGTTGGACCACGGTTTCCCAGGCGTGTCTTAAAGGTTAAGGACTGTCAACCACCCCGGTTCCGGCCTTGCCGGTGCACCCTTTATGTGTTTTTTTCGTGGAATGGCGTCCAAAAACTAGAAAACATCATAGTTTACTGCCTGGTCGTTCTTTCCAGCATCTGTCTGACAGACCATCTGACAGACCGGCCATCTGACAAACTATCTGCTGGACGAAGTCGCCCTGCCATCGCCGGTGGCATCCAGATATCCCAGCAAATCCTTCGCTTGCAAGAGCGTCAGCTCCTCGCCTCAAATGGGGAGGGACCAGACTTTATGGATTTGTTCGATGGACGTAGGGCCGTAGGGTGGAACACATGAGTGATGGTTCACCCAAAGAACTAATATCAACAAATACAGTTGACATGTTAAACAAATCGAAACCACTCGTTCTTGGCCACATCACTGCCGTCCTTGTCAGTATTGTGGCCTTTTGAAATTGAAGGGTGGCTCAAACTCCCGCTCCTGCTTTAGGTGTAACTTACACAGAACCTCCCCGTCGCTGACCCGTTCCATTGGTTTGATGGTTCCTCTTTGGACTCACCAAGGCTATGGATCAGTCGGTGCCATAAGCAGCCACTTCTGGACAGCTTCGTTTTCTCTTTCCCACAATCCACCAATCCCTGGTTGAGTTGGGTTCCCCCACGCATACTATAATCTACATGTGACCCAATACATGAATCAAGTCCCTCCAGGTGCTTGCAAGGTTAAACAAGAAATGTATTTTTTCAGGTGTTTTCTTCGATCTTCACCATTCCTAGTCGAAGCCTGGACGACCTCTGTGTCTTGACCTGGCTGCGCCGACTCTGGAGAAACCTTTCGGGAGAACATATAGGTGGAGCGCTTGGGATGACAGCGCCCTTCTTGAGACAAACTCTTTTTTTCGGGATGAGATATCGTGATCAATCCCTGGTCCCTTTGACTCCGGCTCCATTTTTCTCGGCATTGAAGTACCTCTTTGTCGAATCAGACCCCCAAGCTACCAGGACAGCTTTTCTGTCTTCTCCTGGCATGCATTGCAGTGCGCTCGGGGATTCCGAGCGGGAGAGTGGTTCTTGTGGGGTTGGCTTGGGGTCAATGTTTTTTTTGGGGCGCACTGGTGAGAACCATCTCGAAAAACCTCTCAACCTATTCTGAAACTATCGTAGATCTCAATATTAATGCAAACATATCGGGCAAAGCAAGGTCACGTCCAAGGAGGCCCAGGCCAGGCCAGATGGTGAGGACTTTTTCTTCTTGCGATCATTGTCCCATGATGTCCCATGCAACTGGTACTGGATCGTACCAGAATTAGGCATGCAGTTTGACCCGGTCGATCGAATTAAGTCTTTGGACCTTGGACACATATTCTTTATTATGTACTAGCTTTGGAACCTGCTCTGGAACCTGCTGTGGAAACTGCTCTGGAACCTGCTCTGGAACCTGCTCTGGCAACTGCTATGGGGACCTGCTCCCCTGCTCTGGAACCTACCTGCCCTGGAACCTGCTGGAATCAGTGCCACTAAACCTCCTTCGGAGCCTTCTCTGGATACATGCTGCAGAACCTGTGCTGATTGAATTACTTCTGACCACTTCCTCCTTGAAGACTTGGCATTTGGAGCAGCCCATGCGCTGCACTGACAATTTGGCTCTCTCTAGTGTGACATTCCTTCAGGTGTCACACCCCTGAAGTATGGACCAACTGAATCCCCATGCAGACCCATCACCACGACCTTCTTGGCCAAGAATCATCTCAGTCATTGCTGTTATTTTGTTGTTTTTTTCTGTTTGCATTTGCTACTTTTGTGCTAACGTTATTTTGTTGTTATTTTTTCGCATGTTTGCATTTGCATTTTTTGGGCGTTTTTTTGGTATTGTGGATTTTGCTGCCTGATGCCTTTGCTGAGGAAAAGTGTTGTTATTGAGTCGTGGCTTTGGTGGGTGATTTCACCAGTACGTCCTTTGTGTTTGTTGCTGGTTGCCTTAAAGCGCGTTTGCATCCATTTGGTTTGTTCTTTATCTTTGCTCTTCAGTGTAAAGAACATCTGGGAAGGCAACTCTCATTTCGGAGACATTGGGACACGCTGCCGCAACCGGTCATCCCAGACAACCGAAACAACAGGACCTGCATTGGTTGGAAGGATTAGATTAGACAAAAGGAGGGATGGCCAAAACAACACTTGGTGGAATTGGAGTTCCCTTTGGGAATGGCTGGGGAATGGCAAATTGGAATGGCAAAAAATTGCAAATCCCTCGAGTGTTTGCCATTTTTTGCTATTCCTGCAAGTTTTGCGGTTTACAGAGATTTGCTATTTTTTCATTAAAAAACTTTGGTTGTTTTGGTTGTCAAACAGTGTGCCATTCTTTTGCAATTCTGAATTTTGATGATGAGTCAACACCACAGGGGATGCCAGGCACAGCTTACTTTGTAATCCTTCTTTGCACCTGCGCACCATGGAAATATTACGCTGGCAAAACCAGCAAATGAGCGCTCTTTCCAGTGTTTTGCCAGCCTTGCTTCTGCTATAAAGAAAAAGCTTTGCCACATGTTCTAGATTTTTACATGCACTTGCCAATGCTTTTGGCCTCGCTGGTACAAGTGTGAGAACTCTGCGCTGCTGCAAGCGCTGCAAGCAGGGGAACCAAAAAAAGAAAAACATGGAAAAGAAAACAGTAAAAAACAGCAAAACAGAACGCCAAAGGAACGGCCAAAAAAAAAAACAGCAAAAACAATTGGAAATCAGAATGCAGAAAAAACAGCAAAAAATGCGAAACAATTCAACTGGAGCTGACCGGACCCAGTCTGTGGCTAGAAAAATCTCATAATGTTAAAGCAATCGTATACGGTCCTGATTCTTCCAGCAGGAATCAAATCCACCAGCAAAATGGGGTCATTGACCTGTAGGGCCTGCGTTGCCAGGTCCCTGAGAAGAAGCGGAAAGAACCATCAAAGAAAGAAAAGAAAGAAAAACAGAATAAGAGGACGCAAGAGCGGGAGCCTGCAGAGAAAGCGAAGGTGCAAAAGCCTGCGCAAAAAAAACAGCCAAGAAGGCTAGGAGTTTGTGATTTGTTCCCTCAGGTCGAAACAGACCCTGGTCAAATCAGCTTTTCCGATTTTCTTGCCAAGAAAAGCCACAAAATCCGCTGAGTCAATTTGAGCCCGGGTGAAGTTTGAGGTCTAGGGAGGGAGGGCACCTTCTTGGTGGGAAGAATGGCTCTGCAGGCCATCGACAAAGTGTGCACCCAATGGCAAAGTGCGCAATGGCCTAGCTGAAAGTGTAACGTGACAAAGTGTTCTTGGTTGGACAACATGTTGCCTTTGGGTATGGTCAGTATCGTTGCTCCTGGACAGGTACGCACAGAGTGCAGGTGGTCGTCAAACCCTTGCAGCATTTGGATGGTGAGGAACCCACCTTTACTCTAACCGACCTGAGAATACTATCCACGTCCATGCAACATGTTTTCCATGATCAACCAATTTGGTGCAATTTGATTTTATAAGGTGGGATGGTGGGAATAGTGCTGCAGGGTCACCTAAACACTGCTCCTGCCCACCGGATCCAAACAGACTGGCGGATCAGATGTGCTGTGCATGAGTTTTTGTTTCAGAGTGCACTGAGTATCCCATGGTAACATCCCAGCCCATGGTATCCGATCTGCATCCTACTTCTTCCACCTCGTGAGACAGGTCTCCCAAACGGATCTCCCGATGTGCCTTCCACCATGTGGGAAAACGGTGCCGCATGGTCACGAGTCCGTCGAAGACTATGGATCTGGAAGCCCGCTCTAGAATCTATATGATGTATACATGAGTTCATCACTGTCGACGTACCCTTCTTCAAGTCCAAAGACCTGCTAGTTTAAACCTGGTCCTTCATGAGGCCTCATTGAGTGGTGGTTTTGCATGATCAACTCCAGCTGTGAACTTTTGATCAGGGCTACTGCCCCTACAAGTCCAAAGACAACCTGGTCCTTTACCTCCACTCAATTTGCATATGATCAACTCTATAGTGAAATGAGGTCTTTGACCCCATGTTGTGGGAAGTTCGGCCAGGTGATGACGAAGATCCTTCAACTGATTCAGCCTTCGTTCAGCGGTATCTCGGGCGGATCTGCGACGGAGCTCCTCGGCATCCAGCTGGTGCTCCCATGCATGTCTAAAGACCCAGTAAAAACTGGTCCAACTCCACATGAGGTGTGATTGTAGGTTTTTGTTTTTCATGCGCGTGGTAAGGTGCCTATTTTCTAGTACTCCTTGAAAACTACTCGGAGAGTTTAGCCTCCTGCTCACGTTGATCTTAGGATGCTATGATCTCTTCTGCAATGGAGTGCTTCAATTTGGCTTCCAAGGACATGAAATTTTAGAATGGTGCTTCTAGCGCTGTAGCTTGTTCTAGCACGATCAACTCCAACTGGAGTAAAATGAGATCCTTGCAAAGTTGACCTTTAGAAGAAAACTTGCCCTTCCTGCAGGATTCTCAGGGTCGTTCATCAAGACCTGTCTCGATGCTGGGTGGCTTTTCGGAGTGGAAGAGATCTCATGACTTTTGGCATTATATGAAGCTGCCTTTGGCAATTTGATTCTGTTGATACTGCTATATGCTGAGGAGATTCGGATTCGTGGGTGGGACCCACGGCCGAGACACAACCATGGTGAGGTGTTTCTGGAGATCCCCCAGATGCGGACTAAAAATCCAGAGTTCATGCTAAGAGGGTATCAGATACCTCAAAGTGACTTCATGACTCCGTGTATAAAATCCGGGCGCCGGCCCCAGGGCCAGCCCGTGTTGCGCCCGGAGGGCCTTCGGTGTAACCGAAGGTTAAGGAGTGACGCCCCCTGCCGCCGACCACCCCCTGTTCACCTCCCCACCTGGTATCCCACCTCAGGTCGTGTTTTACAGTGCTTCGTGTGTGTGAGGTACAAAAAACACTGTGTTTTACAGGGTTTTGTGCGCATACTGAAAGGCGACGCGGCAAATATGGAGAAATACAAAAACACTGTGCTTTTCAAGGGTTGTGTCGGTAATGCGCGCCGCGCGGACGGGCATAATCGACATTTCGTGGGTGTCGGGCACGTGCCAACAGCAATAATGGCGGATAATGTGCTCCAAGATGACCTAACAGAGGCTCTCCAGATGACCCAGCATAGGTCCCAGATGTGCCCCCTAGATGACCTAACTTAAGTCCCAGATAGTCTCAACGTAGCCCCAGAGAGACAGAGACAGAGACAGAGAGACAGAGAGAGAGAGAGAGAGAGAGATAGAGAGAGAGA